TTGGCAAACACTTCTTGGGGCGCAGTGTTGTGCTTTACTTCGCGTTTACAGAGCACTTATCCGCTCTAGACTAGATTACGGCTCAGTTGTTTATGGATCTGCACGGCCATCAGTTTTGCTGAAGCTAGACCCTGTTCATCATCAGGCACTGCGGATCTGTTCTGGGGCGTACAGGACATCTCCAGTCCAGAGCCTGTATGTAAATTGTTATGAACCAGCCCTCCATTTGCGGCGTGAGCAGCTGTCTCTTCTACAATATTTTAATATATTGTCTCAGCCTGACCATCCTAATAAGCTCTGTTTGCTAAATGACATCTGTGACCTTCTGTTTCAAGCACGACCATCTTGTGTTCCTTCCTTTTCCTTAAGAGCTCGTTCGTTGATTGAGGAATATTCCATATCTGGTATGTCCACCCAAGTAGTACATCATCTTGAAATCCCACCGTGGGAGGATACGGGAATCAAGGTCCTCGATGTTTTCCAGCGCTATAATAAGCAGAACACTTGCGAGATCATATATCAACAACTCTTCTTAAACCACAGATATGAATATAGCAGTCATGTGGCAGTATATACAGATGGATCAAAAACAGCTTGCCATGTTGGAGCAGGATTTGTTACGGATGACTACATGAAGGGCAGACGCTTGCACTACGCTTGCTCAGTTTTGACATCTGAACTTACTGCCATATATTATGCGCTTATTTACATATCAAAGCTACGCCAGAAAAAGTTCATAATTTATACAGACTCACACAGCGCATTGAAAGCCTTAGAAACCTTTTCGAATACTCAAAATCCAGTCATAGTGGATATTCTGAAATTACATATAAACTTAACGAGTCGTGGATATGATATCCTGTACTGCTGGGTTTCCGGCCATGTGGGAATAAAAGGGAATGAGCTGGCAGATATCACAGCGAAAATGTGCTGTTGATCTGTCCAGTCGCCTCATCCCTTTTGGAGACATCTGTTGTGTAGTCAAAGAGAAGATCCGAAAAAAATGGCAGCATCTTTGGGATGGTCAGCTTCAAAACAAGTTAAGACATGTAAAGCCTAGAATTGAGCATTGGGAATTAACTAGAAATCGTAAGGAGGAAGTTCTTTTGACTCGCCTCAGAATTGGTCACACTAGAGTGACACATAACTACCTTTTAAAAGCTGAGAAAGAGCCTGTTTGTTCATATTGTAATGTTTGTCTATCTGTTCGTCATATTTTAATTGAGTGTCCCTGTTTTAACAGTCTTCGTCAGAAATATTTTAATAGCTGTGACTTACCTCTCGACCGTTTAATCGGAAGAGAGGTCAATTGTAATTTATTTTAAATTATTTAAATTTAAATTTGATTTAATTTATTTTATTAATTAAAAGACTGGCTTTTATTACCAAATGTAATTTGTTTTGAAAACTGTGTCTTGAATTTTAATGTGTGCTTTTAACTTTTGTTTATATGACTTCATCCTCTGGATCTGGTACATTTGTCTACTTGTTTTTATTTATTGAATTTTAATGTCATCAATTGTAATCATCCCATCTTGTGTTTGGCGCGTTATAATCATCTTTGGTTTTGCGCCATAATCACTCACTCACTCACTCACTCACTCACCTTCCCAGAATTTGGCAACGCAAAATCACTTAATAATTCTGAATCACTTAATTGAAGATATGAATGGTTAACATGAAACTTGCACTAAACTCAGAGAAAGTAAAAAAGAACTACATTTCATATTAAGTTTAACTGGCTTTTGTTCCCAATAAATTATATTAGGAAGTAACCGTTTTTAGGGGTATGAAAAATACTTAATTGTTTAAGTCTACGTACACGTTACCATTTCATTATAGTAGTTTTAAAATAAATTAATAATTATTCTAGCAATTTGGATCTTCGGCTTATAACATCCCAAGGCTTACTTCTCCTATGGAAATTACTAATATTATTAGATATCTCAACATCAAAAAAGCTCCTGGAAGTGATCAGATTACTAATAAAATGCTTCGTAACTTACCTAGAAATCTTATAAGTAAATTTGCTAGTATTCTCAATGCTTGTCTTACTCTTAACTATTTCCCTGATCCTTGGAAGCCGGCCAAGATCTTTCTTCTTCCCAAACCGGGTAAAGATGTGACCAAGCCTGATGGCTATCATCCAATCAGTTTGTTATCCAGCCTTGGTAAAATTTATGAAAGACTCATTCTCACAAGATTGGAACCTTTTCTTCACCTGCTACCTAATGATCAGTACGGATTCAGAAAAAAACCTCAGTACTACTCGATAACTAGTAAGAATTGTAGAATTTGTGGGATCTGCATTCCATAACAAGCAAAGTATTACGCTCCTTATGCGGGACGTCGCAAAAGTCTTTGACCGCGTCTAGCATGAGGGGCTCGTCTTCAAGCTTATCAACTTGGGACTTCCCAGAGAACTCATTCTTCCGATCTTCTCCTTTCTGCAGAACCGCACTTTCTTCGTCGCTCAAGGAAATGAAAAATCCAGTTCAAGACCTATAAGATCCAGCGTCCCAGAAGGAAGTATTCTCGGTCCAGTGCTATATCTTTTCTACATATCAGATTTTCCTTACCCTGGTTTGGACAATTACTCTTTGTTAGCATGTTATGCCGACGATACGGCGATTGCAATTAAATCCATCCAAGCTAATCATGCAATAGACAAAATGCAAAATTACCTCTATGCCGTAGACGACTGGTGCAGAAATTGGCGCGTAAAAATCAATGCTAGCAAGTCACAACTTTTAGTTCTTAGCAAAACTAAGAAAAACATTGCTTTTAAAGCTCTCTACCTTTTCCAGGAAGCTGTTCCTCTGGTCACAAAGGCCAAATACTTAGGAATTATTTTGAACCAAAAGCTCACATGGTCTAACCACATTAATATTAATAGTGTCAAGAGCAAAGCCATGGGCATAATATGCAGATTTCTCCCGGTCATTGGAAATATTCAAATCTTAGCTTGTGTACCAAAAAACATATATGTACCACTTGCATTTGACCGATACTTTGTTTATGCTGCTCTTGCTTGGAACACGGTCACTCAAACTCAACTGCCATCAATTACAAGGCAGTGCAAAACAAATTTCTGCTGCGCATTATTACTCATTCACACTCTATCTTATCCGCAATAAACTTTTAAACTTTTACACAGAGACTTAAAAACTTGAGACGATTCCACATTACATCAGAAGATCTAATGAAAAATTCTTCAACAAAGCTGTGCAGTGTGACTTTGTTAATTACTCTTAAGTCTTTAATTATGAAATTCTCTTCGAAGATAGAAGCGTCAGACCACTTGCAGCTCACACCTTCATGGGAGGAGGCGACAACTTTTTCACTTAGCTCCTCAATTGGTAGCTGTTTATAGTACTTCCAATGCATCTGATTTTGATTGATGTTCTTCTGTAGCTTGAATATTATTCTTGGAGATTGATAAAACTAATGCTGTGAGATTTTTCTCATTGTGATGATATAGTAGTGTTGTAAATAGGTTGCTTAGGTTGTTGTTGAGTTGCTGTAGTGTATAGCGTTGAATAGTTGTATTGAAATTGTGTTGTATACTTGTATTGTATTGTGTTGTATTTAGCGCTATTGATTGAGGTTGCTTAGTTGTATTTGAATTTTTCATTGGAACCATTGCTGTAGTGTACTTTCTCATATTGTTGTCATTGATTTGCATTGTCTTGGGTCCTCCTTGAAAGCTATGATCGCTCATCACGTTTTGCGAACTTGTCCGATTGGATTGTCTTATCCCTTTTGGTACTTCTGTTCTTCCCCTTTTCTCCGTTTTCTCATCTGAGATTTTCTCCACGTTCGGATTTCTTTATGTCAAGTGCCCTTGGGCTTTAATTCTGGAACCGGCAACATTGCACTTCGCAATAGCTCGGTCAATTATAGAGTCAATTATAGAATTATAGAATTATAAGTCAAATTTGGAGTTAATAAAGACAGATAATTTTAAATTATATTGTTTCAGTTATTTACTTGATTTTTTAAATGACGGTATTAAGATAAATTCTTAATCTAACTCATTGGAATAATTTTATATTTATTTCTGAAAATTGCATTTTTTTAAAATTCCTGAAAACTTTACAAAATGTAATTTTGTAAAAAAAATAAACGCTTTATAAGCCCTTTTCTCCCTCCTTTCTGCATGCCTTTGTGGTGTAAAGGTAGCACACTCGGCGCGTATTCCAGATGTCCAGGGTTCGAGTCCCACTGAGAGTTCTGATCATTTTTCTTGTCTCCTGCTTCAAAATAACCTAATGAATCTGAAATGGCCCCCGAACTAAAAACAGGAGGTGGATGATGATTCTTCACCACCAAGATTTTGGCACCTGGGTCCCCTAATCCCCAGTCGCCATTTCAAAGGAGGATTGTATAAATTATTTTCCCCTCCTTTCTGCATGCTTTCGTGGTGTAACGGTAGTACACCACGAAAGCATGCAGCCGCTCGGATACGCTCAGGTTCGAGTCCCGGCGAGGGCATCACAGATTTTTCTCGTCTCCTGCTATCAAAAAAATTAATGACTATACAATTTGTTGATTGATAAAAAAAGCATTAATGATCCAATTTTCTCTCTTTCATACACAACTATACATTAAATGAATTGTTTATTGAACATTTCTTCCCAAAACAGCTCGAATTTTGCGAACAGCTTCCTATAAGTTCTATTTCCAAAGTGAAAAGTATAACACTCAGGTGCGTTTCCGAAAGCATTTGCCACCTAATTATTTTTATATAACTTCTGAGATTTATTTTAGCTTTATATATGTTTAAAGCCTTATTTTACCTTTACATAAAGTTTTATGGTTTCTGGTAAGAAAAATATCACTATTGTTTAAAAAAGTTCTTCAGTTTATCCTTTAATATGACATAAGTTTAAAGCAATGCTTATAAGAAGATTATTTTCATGGAGGAATATTGTTTTTCAATTTTGAACACGACAGATGCAGGCCAATACAGATGTTCTTTAGGTAAAATAAATGGCAGAGATTGAAGGAATAAACAAATTATTAGTCAGCCCTTGTCATCAAGTAAACAGATGTTCCTGAAGATAAAGGACTTGGAATTGCGACAACAAATGCTAATAAACGTATATATATGTACCAAGATGCTGTGAGGCTGAACTTTAAGATCTTTTGATCTTACGCTGGTTAAAGCGTGAAAGGTATTGTTGGACGCATGCTTGTAACTAGGTAGGTTAATGCAAGTTTTTTCTTCATATTTATCTGCACTGTTTTATTTTTATCCATAACTAGTGTAAAATGCCAACAAAAAATTCAGCATTTACTTACTTAATGATGAAAAATAAAAATATATTTCATGTGCTCATCTTCCAGAAACTTATTGGTGGAAGAGTTCTGATATTAAATGCTTGCAAACTTTTATAATCCTTAAAAATGTTGTCGCACAGAGATGTTATCGAATTTTAATTAACTTGTGGTCATACCTTAACAAATAAACCATACTGACTAGCTATCTATACCATGTAATTACTTTTATACTTGTAGAAATTATTTTCAGTACCACTGTACTTCTTCTGGAAGAACAGACAGTGACATTTACGTAAGTGATTTGAGTAATATTAATATGTTTTCTTGACATCATTTCTGAGCTGTTTATTGCAAAGCTTATAATTAAATTATGCCACTATCTTGGGAATGGCGTGTAATATGGTGACTGTTTTACTCTTTGGGTGTCTTCCTATTTTAAATTTGAGGCTCACCTTGTGCAGGGTGACTCTTGTAACTGGAAACTGAATTTGAGCCCTGCAAGATTGCAAGTTATCGCTACGTCTTAAAAGTATAAAATAAGGTACAAAAATAACATTTTCATTTTAATCTAAATTAAATATAAAGGTACATCTACAGATAAACTACCAATTAAAATTAAGCAATAGCAGACAGCAGTTTAGGACTACACATATCGTAGCATAAGAAGTAGGCTTAAAGTAACACGCAAGTTTACAGCAATGACTATCGAGAATGTCAAAGGCGGAATACTTAAACTGAGCTGGCGAAAATTACTAACAACAGACGCGAATGCCAGAAGATATATATCTCTTTCTCTCTCAACTAGATATACAAAACTCTCAGTTTAAACACACTCGAAACTAATTTTCATTCTGATGAGGAACACGGAAAGGAAAAGTTATAATAAAGATCAAAACTATATTAACTGCATGCACTCGTGGTGTCACGGTAGCACACTCGGCGCATATTCGAGAGGTTCAGGTTCGAGTCCCGGAGAAGGCACTGCTCCTTTTTCACATCTCCTGCTTCAAAAAACTCAATGTCTCTGCAACTTTACAAATGTTTTCCGTTTGCCAAAATGTCCTGTCCACAACAATTTGAAATGTGAGCACTACAGTTTAAAATTATATGTAAACTTAATTCTTAAGCTTTTATCAGATAAATAAAAAAATGCAAAACTTACATACGTATTAAAATGGAGTTTTTAGTAGTTCTTGCAGATTATTCACTCTCATATTAATCATCTTATATCATTACCATGAATATACATTTTCCCTAAGGCGGGCACTAGCTATTTTAGGTTTTAGCTACTACTAAAAGCCAGAAGAAGTAGCCATTTTATTATGGAGACACTTTATAGGCTGCCACCGCTAACTGCTATGAAGGGACAGATAATTTACATCCATGTCTTCTCTGGGATTCAAACCCCTGTCCTTCGGGACTCATGAATATTTTAAGGTGACATTACCTGAAAAGTATTAATTTGTAAGCTTTTTCTTCCTTCATACTGTCTGCCTGAGTGGTATAAGCGGAAAGCTTATTCGGCTAGGAATTGGAAGATCTAGAGTTCAAGTTCAGACAAAGGGACTGGACATATTCATGTCCCCTAACTCGAAATAAATGCCTAATAGTCTCTGTAACTTACCTCTTAATAACCATGTGTCACAGTTAAACGTAGATGCCTTTAGCTTTATTTTATGTAAAACGCTTAACCGTAAAGGAAAATGCTCGGTGAATCACAGTCCTTTTCCAGTTAGTAGTAGGCAGGATCATTCTTTCATACTGTGAAGTTTATTGTCTAGAAAGATATTCAAATAACACTTTTATATCCACCAAGCAGCCATCAAAGCTCACTAGCAGCGGAGCTGTAAAATCGCTGAACTCTGGCAGTTCAGACCTGGCTTCGATTCCAGGCGAGCGGGCGGTTTCGTGTTTTCTCCATGTGTAACGTGTATGCGAGCCAGTTCCCTCGCAAAGACATCCACGAAGGCATTCCTTGCTTTATAAAATAGTTCCTAGCGTGCTTTGCCATTATCAACTAAACCAAATCAGTTTCCGCTAAGCTTTGGCATTGGTCCATTGTTTCCTTAACATTTGACACCACTTCATAGCAACTCAGACGTCTATTTCTATAGGAAAACACCATTTATATTTCTTCTTTATTTAAGAAAAAGTCAATCCGATCTCCACACTTTTCTTTCTCTCATTTTACGTCTTTTACATTCTCTCATCCTTTCCCTCCCTCTTTTTTTTTAAATTTGAACTTATTTATACAGATTTCATTAATGAAAATTTAATATATATACGCTATATTCAATTTAAAATATATGAGTTTTCCTATTTAAATTTTTACTCAAATGTACTTTTCTAATAAAATTTTGCGTTCAAATTGACGTAAGGAAACAAGTGGAGCTTTAAAAACTTAAAATAATTAAGTTTAAAATATGATTTTATTCAACAGTATGCCCATGAATTAGCAGCAGTAGATAGTACTTCTTTTTAAAACACGTGACGAAATACTTGATTGTATTTCTTTTGGTAAATTTTAAAAACTATCACAGTATATAGTTTCTAACAAGATTCCAGGAATTTACAGTAATTAAATTTAATATTGGTGGATGCAGGTGCTTACAGTTCAAAGTTTGTTTACATATTTTTAGAAGAATTTCTGAGCTTTTAATTCATGTTTAAAATAAAAAGAGTACTTTTTAAATATTCCATCTAATCGACTTTTTCTAGACTATAAGTCTGCATCATAATTTCCGTGATAGAATGGCTTTCCGTAAAATTTCCACTTCATTTCTACTACTTTCCAGAGTTCATCAATTGAACTCTGGAAACAAGAAAGAAGATTGACTAAGGGTTTGCGCTTAGAAAGAACTTTTTTCAAGAGACCAGAGGCAAAATAGTCCATTAGGGGAGTGCCAGGGTACTTAAAAGGGATACGTTGAATAGGTACATACAATACCTGCATAAATATTCATTCTTTTAAGGAATGCAATTGTACTTTCCAAGTATAACCTGTTGCTTTAGCTTGATGAAATGGTACTCTTTTAAAATCATTGGGATAAAAAATGGAATTTTTTCTGTAAATGTCGGCTTAAAACTTCCTTTAAATAGTATGGTGAGCTGATCTCAGCACGTTTCTTTTCTTTTCTTATTTTTAATTCCATGCTGTAAGAGAATCCTGCGACAATCATAAACCCATTGCTGAAACTTTTTTAATGGAACAGTGAATGGACCTTTTCTTCCTCTTCGTTTTTGATAATAAACTGAATTTTTTTTTGCAATTATTTAAGTAAACCGATGCTTCATTAAGGGTCAAAATATATTTCCATTTATCCCCTGAAAAACAGTTTTCATACAGGGTTCTAAACATTTCGCTGCGTTGAGCCACATGCCTCTGCAAAAGCTGGTGAATATTTAAAACTTTTTAAGTTATAAATCTTAGTTTATCATTTTATTTACTGTTGAATGATGTAGTTAAAGACTTTGCAATCAATCGATTTTTGCAAGGAAGAAAATTTTGTTGATATCAAACTATTCAACTTAAGAAACATTAAAAACAATTCGTACCTTTCCGTGTAAACGTTCAAGTATACACGAAATATTCATACGTTTGAAGTCTTCTTTCCTCATAGAAATAACGAATAAGGGAGCTTCCATATCCGATTAATAATATTACTTATTTTGCACTTAAAACTTTTAATAATACCGTACGTTTCACAGCTTTTCTAAATTATGGAACAAGAACATTTCTCTTCGAAAAGCGCAAAAATATATACTTCAATTCACAGTTTGTTTGCATACAATGTTTTGGAAGAAGAATCGATATAAAAGTTGGCCTCACATTTTACCCTAAGACACAGATTTTCAATTAATCTGCATTAAAGAGCAATTTTTTAAGAACTGCACATCTCTTGCAAAACTTTGTTCAGCCTAAGCAGATTTAACAGTTGCATCGCTAGGGCTGTTTTTCTCACTTACGTAATCAGAAAAGCTAACCTATGTTGAGCAGTTATCTTGAGATTTGGGAAGAAAAATATCGTCCTTTAAAAGTAACGGTGATAACAAAAGAAGAATAAAACAGTTATCTTAAATCAAAAATACAATAATTCTCAGTTTTTGAATTTTGAGTTAAAATGAAGTGGTTCCTGTCAGGCATGTGTTTACGCATCACCTTTTAAAAATTAAGCATTATTTATTTTGTAAAATAATGCAATATTACCTCGAAATTTGTTTCACAGATTTTCAACTGGAAAGTAATATTCGAAAAAATTGCACGATTCGAAAAAAATATACGATTCTCAGATAAACAACTTTAAATATTAATTTTATGAGATGAATTTAAAATGTTACAGGTTTTTTGTTATTTTGTCGAAGACAAGCAACAACAGCAAAATAATACTTTTTCATATTTTAAATTTGTGTTTTGTTTTCAAATTGGTGGTATGTTATTTTAATAATAAAACTTTATTTTTCAGCAATTCATCAAAATAAATATGCGATTTCTGATCCTACTATGTTTTGTGGCAGCACTGATACATTCTCAGAAAATTCATACCAAGAAATTTTTCCTTCAAAAGACTTCTGACAATACCAACGAAATTCTCTTAATAGTCACATGGTCTCAAAATCATTTAAAGGAAATCCCGAAAATAATAAGTTGTGAAGTTTACTCTGATGAGTAAGTATTCCTTCTTAAACTTGAATTTACATTATTATTCATAAGCAACACAATATATAACTGAGACTAATTATAAAATATTAAAATTCTTATGATTGTAACAATTTGGGAATTATCAACATATTATTGTCATATTTGGTTAGAATATTTCTTTCATTCACCATTTCATAAGAGTTTTAAGGTTTTTCTGAATGGGAATAAAAAAATCGAAACTTCGTTCTAGTAACTGAAGATTAGGCATTTCACAGAAGGTTAAAACTTACATTGTTTACAGAATGATTTTTTTTGCCATATGGTTTTATGTTGGTTACAGGTGGAAAGACCGAAACGACTGGCTGGGTTGGAATCGAGAATAGGTTACATATTTTTGACCATCATACCATGGAAGAACTGTATGTATGATATGATTTGATACCCTTCCGGGAATGCTCTGGATCAGAATTGAAATAGTTACTCGACAAAGTTATTCTGTGATCATAGGAGACTGTAGTGCTCTTGTAAAAGGTAAATACATTCATTGTTCAATTAGAGTTTCATTAGCTATCCAAGCAGAGAAAACGAAATCGGAAAAAGAGTTCACGATATGTTTTCATCGGCAATTGAAAAATTATTTATTCGACCGGCCATAAATGCGACTAAGCTGACATCGAAATTATATCCATTAAAGTAATAGTTTGCAAATCAACAAGTTGCAACTAATATTGATAAATATGTAAGTTAATCTTCAAAAATTCAAGAGTATCCGAAACAAATTTGATTGCAGTTTTCAGAAAAACTTGATTTATGTTAATATTCTTCAATGAATAATTCTCCTCTATTGAAAACCCATCACTCAACATATATTTTGGTAGATATATTGACCTTTCAGATGCCTTTTTACTGAGAATCTACCAATATTTCCTTCACTTGCCTTACCGTAATATAAGATTGAAATTATACGAAACATGTTGAAATCTTTTAAGTTTAGAGAAAGTACTTCAAAAATATATCTTTTGTGTTGCCATAGGGGCAGAATAGTTGCTGATTTTAAAAGAATGAAAAGAAACAAAATTAAAACAGTGCTCAAATTGCTCTTGAGTGGGTCTGGAGTTTGAATCTACAACGATATTACAATTACTGCCTGTAGGATGTTTCATAGAGTTAATATTCCTCTATCCAGCAGCTACAGCAAAGCCAATGATAGCCAGCGACCACGCTAAATGCTGGTTTCATTGGTATTAGGCAGCATAAAAGGAGGTAAGTGCAAACTATGTGTTATTCAATGTTGAATCTACTTTTCCCTATTTTTGCTACGTTTGAGAGTATTCATATAAAGAGAAGCGTAGGATCGCGTATGTCTTGTACCGGAGTGAAGCATATTATTGCACGTGAGATAATTTGGGCAGCAGTATTGGGAGATATTGTTTGTTTCAAATGGTTACTTCACTGTAAATGATGGTTACTTCACTGTAAATGATGGTTACTTCACTGTAAATGATGGTTACTTCACTGTAAATGATGGTTACTTCACTGTAAATGATGTTAAGATGGTTACTTCACTGTACACCTGTATTCTCCACCGTCAAGGACTGTGTGTTAATTAAACCTACCATCTGCTAAAACTTGAGAAGGTTGCATCTTATGCTGAAAATGCAGCAATTTACGCCAGAAAACAAATACAGAGTTGCTTGACTAATATGAAAGAAATTTTGAGCATTGTCTATGTCTGCTCTGATAGCAACACCAATGGTCCTTTTTGTGGTATCGGAGGATGTACTGAAAATCATGTTTCTCTTCATCTACCACTGTGATTTTAAAGAGTTGCGTTTTGAAAAAAAAAAAAAAAAAAAAAAAAAAAAAAAAAAAAAAGCAAGTTCTATATTGGTCTTTTCCAAAAAGAATAGCTAAAGTGTTAGTATATAAAGGATGATTTAAAAATTCTTAAATAAAGATATATCATTCAGGTGTTTTCGTTACTTTGTCCAATATCAATAGTTATTACAATAGAAATTTTGTAATTTGGATAAAATACATTTCAGATAATGTTCTATAAATATGCGTTAAATAAATTTTTTATTTTTTATTATGACTGACTGTATCTAAACCGTATGATTAAGTTAGATCTACAATATACCACAGAGTGGTAGCTAAAATGATAACTACAGAGTACTGTTTCAAGAACAACTGAAGAATTTATACTGTCCTAAATTTGGTCGTAGTGAGATTATGTGTATTTTAAGCATGTAACTCTGGCGGCGGTGTTATTCAGTGATCAAACAGTAGCTAGGTAAGTATTTATCGGGACTGGGCAAACCCATTGCTCGTTTAGTTTTCTGTTCACGAAGAAAATTCTCAAAATGCAGAAAAGAGAGCCTTCGATATTCCACCCGCGTGAATGGGACAAGTGTAAAGATCCATAGCTTTTCTGGAATTCGAATCTGGGTCCAAGGACATGGTACCGGTTGCTTTAACTATCATGCCAACGAAGGCTGATTTTGTGGAAGATTAACTTCCACGATTGAGGATAATTTTTTGTCATCAAATCGACACGAATGTTATCATTTCATTATCATGTCTATGCTAGGCTTCATTCGATATGAAAATAAGGAATAATGTTACAGATTTGTGTGTTCTTTTGAGGAAGATACAGCAAGATTTTGACAACTATTTTCATTTTGGATAAAAGATACTAATTACCTGGTCATTGTGGGTTTATCGTGATAGGAACTTCAACTGAAATTTATACTTTAATCTTCTGCCGAGCTGAATTCTATCAAATGCAAATTAATTATAAAAATGCTGAAAAATTTTCATTATATTTGGAACTTCTAGAAGATAATGAGATGCATTTTCTTTGTCTTACAAAGAGACACGCGAATAGATTTAGCATCTCATATTACCTTGATTGAATTTGAAGGTGAAAATTAAGATTACATCTCATAAAAGTTTCCAAATATCCCTAGTAGAAATTACTATAACTGTGCATTGCGGTGAGAGAATATTTAAAATCTCGTTTCAGAATGTAACCATCAGGTAATGTAAACTGCATTTAAAATAGAAAAGATTACGTGAAGATGTACTATTCTCAATTTATCGGAACTCCGTTGGGAAGCTCAGGGTTTTCAATTTTCTTTTTTTTATTTATATGTGTTTTCTAAACAATTTCTTGAAGTTTTGAACAACGCTGACGTGGAGCGAAATGTTTTATTTAAGATGACTATAAAAGAATAATTATATAGATGCCATAATCTGATTTTTCACAAAACTATTTAAACGTCTAAAAGCGCTCCAGGAAAAGCGTTTTTTTTTCTGAAAGGGCAATTTTTCAGATTCGTAGTTTCAGTGCCAAATTGCTGCCATCAAAAATGCACGTAACAGATTAGCAAAATATCTCCAAAACTGCTTAAATACCTCCATTATCGCTTCACATAAAATAAGTGCACTACAAAAAGAGCTATGTAGTTATTATTACCTGTTGGTAGAATAATTATTTTTAATATTGAGTGACAAAAGCGATTTCAAAATTATTTTCCAGAATTACTAGGTATTAAGTCAAGGAATTGCAGTTTAACTCAAAACTGTAAAGAAAACGCTTCACGTATTTTACTGTAAAACTACTGCAGATTAATAATTATTAATTATCAGTGTATCATTCCAAATTATTACGAAATCTTATTTACATAAGAAATATGAATATACCAAATTCTTTGTATTGCAGATTACTAAAATTTCCATGTCACTGTATGCTTCGTCAGTGAACATGTTTATTATTTACACTTAAAATTAGATTAAAAGATTTCTTTTCTTATATGCCTAATCATACAGCTGAATAATAACTGTTGTGTTTATACAATAAGACAGCAGAAAACTGCAGGAAATTTTATTTTTACCTTATTCTAAGAATACGAACTGTTATTTAGGGAGATTATTCTAAAGGAGATTGGAAATAATATAGTCAGTAAACCAAGCTTAGAAGAAATGACAGACATCCGTGAAGATTGCGCGAAGCTTTTACGCCACAATTCACAGATGGAGACATTTCGCAGCGTTTTTCAAAGATTTGAGGATTTTAATTACAGCAGAAGAAGAGGAATTCCATTTACAAATGATGCAGAGATGAGGATTTCTGAGGAAGCTATAGAGAAATGGAAATCAGGATCACATGGCTCATGGTTCGTTTTTCCAGGTAATTAAATACACATTTAATCCTATTTGTCTTTTAGTATTGCTCATAATTTTATAAATGTATTTTATAAAATAATACTTGCAGGTATAAATTATGTGATGATGCATCATTATGGTTGATGGGAAAAAGGTGTCATTCGTTGCAAAGTGATTTTCCAATGAAAACGAAACAATGCTAAAAATCTAAATTAGGAGTTTAACTTTTGTCACTTTGTTTATGCAAATCATTCAATTATATTAAAATTTTGGTTTCCAAGATAAAATTTTAATGACTTATTTATAAGATTTTCTAATGATTAGAAAAAGTATTAATGACCTGAAAACGAAAGTTATAATTGAGTATAGCTAAAGTATAAGCGAAATTTCTGCGTAGGTTTATCTTTTGCGGAGAGGGGGGTAAATACTGACATCGCAGTCCCAAGAAATCTGAAGATCTTATAATGTCTCGTATGCTTGGCTATCATAAAACTGAGCTCGAGACCTCATCGAGAACCATAAATTGAAAGTCAGGGAAAGCTTTGTCAGGTTAGATCTTCGAGTCTAAACAAGCTTAGTTATTTCAACGACGAACTGCAATATGATTCTGTGTTACAGGATTAGATTAGAGTATTTGAATGTAGAAAGCACACGAGGGCTGTATGTCTAAGGAGAGGAATACTTTCATGGAGGGTTTTGTAAGGGAAATTGCCTCGTATTCCCACTGCACACGGCGAATACCACGAAATACAACTATGAAGCCAGCCCGTTTGCCTCAGATCAACCCAGATCGAACTCCCAGTGTTCAACGGTTTTAACAACTCGGCCAGTAAGTCCTCTGGTTCAAGGAGTATTGCGTCGTCGGGAAAGAGGTACAGATATACATTGCGATTCCCTAATCGTTCTACTTTTGTTATTATCATCATCGTTATTTGCCAGCTAAGAAGAAGCAAGGAGTATTGAGAGTCGTTCCCTTTTGAGGTAGACAGATACTTGCAGGTATGCATATGTAGCCAGTGGTTTTTTTAGAGTGACACCAGTAGTTATCTTTGTTTTAAACATAACATCGTAGTAATATAAACAAGATAAATTGCTGTAAACGCCAAGATGGGATATTCGCTGTTGAACAATTTCAGGTATAAAATTCATATACTGGCAGATAAACCGTTTGCAAAATGGCAAACTAGGGATTACACGGAAGGAGAAGAAAGGCAGTCAACCGAGTATTAGCTATTTAAACGCAAGTTTAAGAAAAGTAAAGTTTATGGATTGCTACTGCTTTAAAAAAAATTCCATTTTATTATAATTCATTTATTTTTTCACATACTTTCCCCAGTTAAGTTATACGCAAGAAAAGTTACTTCTTCTAGCAACTATCGTACCTAAAACTATCGTTTCCCATTATGAGTCGCTTGTGAGTTATGTTAGCAGCGCACCAAATTTCCCCATTGAAAATCTGAAGCCCCGTTTGCGTGAATTATTTGCTTTACTTTCTCTTTGTAATGTAAATTTCGCAGCATACTAAGGCAGCACATCAGTTTCATAATTGCAAAACGTACAAACATTCTTGACTATAGCTGTGCAATGTGCACTTAGGACTCTTTATGTTTCTCCCTTCGTTATAAAGTATACCCATTTCAATACAGTTCTTTAACATGTCTCTTTTTTCAGATACAAAATGGTGCGGACCGGGAGATAATGCAGAAAGTTATAATGATTTTGGTTATGATGAAGCTGCCGATAAATGTTGCAGAGCTCACGACTTCTGTGATGATGCATTGTTAGCAGGAGAGACGAAAGGCAATCTAACGAACAAATCGTCGTACACATCGTAAGAAATCTACATCGGATTTTATGTTTGTATTAATATTCTTCATGTTTTACTTATCTAAAAGTAAATACTAGTCACCGTTTGACGAGCGGAATGATCTGATGGTGAAAAGACCGTTTAAAGCACTAATTATATTTGTACACTACAACAAAAAAATTGGACCGTTCTGTATCTTCCGCTCTACCAGGTTGCTTGATGAATTCAATTTCCGTTTTTTCATGTCTCAAAAGCGCGGCTTAGGATATATATTAGATTTATATAGCATTGTTCTAACATAGGTAATTTGACACAAAATTTGACTTTTTCTGAAATAATATATTATTTTTTTCCATATTTCGATTCTATGACTCAAATTTTGCCTAGATATTAAATTTTGTAATTCTTGGTGAGAAGTTTATGGAGAAGTTTAAGCATTTATCTTGGCACAATTTTTTCAGTTTGTGCCAAAAAATAATTCACGCGAACTTCTTAATTTATAACAACCTATTTTCCTTTCCTTTTTTCATTGTACACGCGCTGAAAAATGGTCATCGTTCATACTTTCAAATAATTTTAACAAAGTGAGTAAATCAGATTTAGTGTTATTATTGGTCATTAAAAGTATGCCAAATTTTAAAATGCGGGCATAGGTAAATTCACGTAAATCTTAAGAAATTTTGAATGAAAAACTCTAATTTTTTTGCAGATATGCTTAGAAATATATCTACTTGAAGATGATGGTAAGCATTTCATAGGTTATAATTCAAAATTTATTTCAAAAAATTTATAAAAGCATTTAAAAATACAAATTTTAAGAATAAATCATAAAAAAGGGGCGAATTATATTTGGATTAGCCTAAATTTCGAATTCTGGAAAAAGGCATCAAGTAAGTTTAATAATAATAAAAAAAGAAATTAATAAATATATGCCAAATTCAATTTACACTGACGAGCTAAAATTTCGAGAGCTAATTGCTTAAAAACTCGTGCGAGTTTTACAAAACTTGGTAGTTTGGCGTAATTTGAGCTGTAGAATCGAAATATGGAAAAAATGGGCATGTCAATTCAGAAAAAGTTCGATTTTGCGTCAAAATATCTACATTAAAACAATGTTATATATAAATCTAATACATATCCTAAGTCGAGGCTTTCGAGACATGAAGAGCTATTCATTCGGCACAATAGGACGGATGATATAGAACTGCCCCCTTTTCTAGCCCCCTTTCTTTTTTAGCTCAGAAGGGCTATTAATCCTGAAAGAATCCTTAGGCCTTACGTAGAATCCTTACGTAGGCTCGTAAGATACAGCATAACGAAATGTTTAATGAACAGGAAAGGCAATATGCCCCACAAGTACACGACCCCGCTTTGTTCGACTTGGTCTCGATCCCAGGCGAACACGCTTGCGGCATAGTTAGTTTTTGTGGTTTTCACCATATGTAACATAAGTTGTTTCGAATCAGGTTTCCTTATAAAGTCCTTCATAAAGTTATCCCTGCCTTTAGGCAGATAGCCCTTCAGTATATTGCATTATTTGAATAACCTAACATAACCTACCCGATGTTTTATCTCTGCGCTCTACATGCAAAATTCTTTTTTGCAGAGTTTTTGGCAATTATGATTAAAACGGTATTGAAATTTAGAGATTAGTTATACTTCAAGTTAATACAATTTTAAATCTCCAAAACAAACCAAATGAATTGATCTTACAAGATATAAGTTATCTTGCAGATTGATCCACATAGTCTGACAAGACCCGTCAGATTCTTGCCAGATTGGTTGAACACTTACCTCTTCGTCTAATTAATATTTTGACAATTGCTAAAAGTTACTTTTAGTTAAACAGTCAAAAAAGATATAGGAAAGTAATATATAATTATATTGCTTACAAAAATTTAAAGTCTTTTGCCACCTGAGATTAAGAACGCTTTCACTGATCATGAGAATTAAGTAGATTTCCAGCAATTTATCAAAACCTTAATTAATAAACCTTTTTAACTTCCATAATTGTGTTAGCTAATAAAAATTAGTGCAAGTAGTTTTAGTCCAAAGGAGTAATTTGCCCTGAAAGACTATTAATTTCGTTTTGGCATTTTGCGTTGGTTCACTATGAATGACGGGTAATTTTTCAAATTGTTGACACCAAATACTACAGCCTTGTGTAATATTTAAAGAAATTAAATAATGAAGAATCTGCATAAAGGTATGTATGTTCCTCGCATTGTGATAAAACAACAGTACCTAGAGCCATCAAATTTTGAATAACGTAATTTTCCACTGTACTATTTACTGTACCGGTATTCGTCGTTTTTTCTCTTCATGGAACTGAAAAACGCAAGCTCGAGATTTCATTGTGGTATCCAATTAAATCGATGAACGAACTCAGTTGAAACCCTCCAACATCTTTAGAGCTCCTTATTGATATATCTAATCTAGAATTAGTAGAGATATATAAGAACATTGTTATTACATGTATATTTTACATTCTTGTCATTACATGTACATTTTACAATTTCATTTGATATGCACTTTTTTAATTTTTCATGCTACTTAATTTGTTAATTGGTTTTTCAGGTTGAGTTGCGAATGCGATGCCGAGTTTTATTCCTGCTTGAAAAGCGTTCATTCTGTAGTTTCTGATGCGGTTGGGGCTTGGTACTTTAACAATTTTCAAAGACCATGTTACGAATTAAACTATCCATTTTCTGACAAATGTTTGAGAACTACGTAAGCTGTTCTTTAATATTGAATTTAGCAAATTTTAAATAATTTTGCATATTTTCTCTTTTAAATTTTATCAATAATCATTTAATTATGTCATCAGCTATAAAGTATTCTTATTTAATATAAAATACATAGGATGTTCGCATATTTTTTGAATAATTTTGATACAGCGAAAAGATTACTTCTTATACAAAACTTATTTTGAACATTATTTGACTTTCTATAATTTGCATGACGAAAATAAATTTGTAAGGAACGAATATACCATTCGTACTTGAAAGGATTTATTATTAGTCTTCATTTCCAATTTATTACTATTACTTTTTTATTTATTTGTTATTATTATTATTTATTTATTTGAAACTTTAGTGTATATGTTAACATGAGACTCTTGGGTTTGCCAAGCGATAAAATCGCTACCACCGGTAACATCATCCCATTTTCAAAGAAGAATTCTCCAAGGGGACGGATCCTAGGGTCTCCTACCTTTCTTTCCCTACCATAACCTCTCGGTAGAATTTTTGTGACCTCACTAAAGACATTACACTCTGCCACAGCACCATGCCTTTTCTGAGATTTGGACACGAGTCCAAAAATATAGCAGCCGACCCGTCTACCATTATGCCAACAGAGCAGTTTTATTCTAACAGCTTTTGGTAATTGCTTCTTTGAATTTCATCAAGTAAAATTAATTTTCTTGATACTTTACAACAAACATTGTGAGATGTATAAATCCTTTAAGATGGGCAATACGTTCTTCATATTTGGTTTCCACAAACTTTGTCTAATAGTGCCACTTAAATCAGTATTTCCCAAAGTTTTTGACTATGCGACAAACCTATATGCAGTTTAATGACTTACCTGCCTATATTTACTGTAAAAAATAGTGAAAGAATAAGGCTAGAAGGTAACATTGAAGGAATCATGATAATAGATAAATATATTTGCTTATTGACTAATAAGGAATAATTATGACTTTAGTAATTATTTACAAGTAAATATGCATTTTAATGCAGTGAACCTTTATTCCTGTTTACGAACTTAATTTGTTCCTAAAGAGAGTTTGTCATCTGAAATATTCGTAAATCGAAATAAATTTCCTATAGGAATTTATGTAAAAAGAGTAGATCCTTTCCCGGATGCCAAATGATTGCTTGGAAAAGGGTACTTTGTGTGTCAGTTCATAACACAAAACCAATGGGATCCGTTAAATATAACACATACACAGTATTACCAAACACCCAATATTTAGCACATTGCGAAGTATATAAAAAAGTAGGAAAATTTGAATTAAATTTTACCGTATCTGTACAAAACAAAGTTGAAGGCGTTAAGTAGAAAATGGCGAAAAAGGAAAATATTATTGTTTGACACAGAAATCCTATTCCATAAAAAAAATCATGTAGCTGCTGCCTCTTTGTGGTTTTTTTTCCTGAATCTCTTAACAGTGCTCGGTACTACTTCAGAATTGCTAAGCTTTTACCGAAGTATAAATTTCCCCGCTGTGATTTCCTTCTATCTGTGTTTTAAAATTGTCTTTAAAGCAAGAATGGCATTTGATTACAAACATTTATACTACTACGCTATTACATTAGCACAGCTATAATGTTCTATAAACTTTCGTACCTCATCCTGTTATACACATATTTTGCAATCAGATATCTAAGAACATCTTTCTTTTTGTTTTCTTGTTCTAAATATATTTTCTTCACTGCATTAACTGCATTTTAGAGTATAATTTATTGTCAACCTTCTTTTTCGTATTTCGAAACATCGCTCCATTTAGATATATTCCATTTGAAAAAATTCTCGTGAACCGACTTGTACTTCCTCCAAAACATTCGTGAACCAAGACTCCAATTTATAACAAGTGGCATATAATTCCACCATGTTTTTCGAGCCATTAAAAATTGTTTCCTTACGCTTAACTAGCTTGTGACTCGCAGTTTGGGAATCACTGAAGTACACTCATCTCCATAAATTAAAGGTAATGCAAAATCATGCAAAGGAAGAGTTGGAAGCAAAACAAATTTGACTTATTTGTAAAGCTTATTTATTAAACAAAAGGTAAAGAGCAAAAAAAGATGCTGTATGTTTGATATTATTAAAAAAAATTAGCGATTTTTTCTCCCTGGAGTAAATTACAAAAAACCCTATTTACAAAAAACCAATATTACATGGTTGGTATGATTGTTAATACATTGTATGTCTCCCAGATGATGCAATACAGTCCGTACAACGCCTAGGCATGCTGAGTATCAAATTATCGATCTGATCTTGGGGGATATTACACCACTCAAAAAGTAATGCTCTCCGAAGTTCCGGTAGACATGTAGGAGGAGGTTCACGGGCTGCAACTCGTCGGCCAAGCATGTCCAACACGTGCTCTACTGGATTCAAGTCCGGTGAGAATGCTGGCCAGTCCATACGGGTGATATCCTCCTATTGAAGGCATTCGCTTACGATGTTTGCACGGTGAGGACGGGCGTTGTCATCCATAAACACAAATTGTGCGCCCATCCATAAACACCAATTGTGCCACCCGAAACAAACATACATGTTGTTCCAGAGTGACGTCCCGATAGATTTGGCTTGTCATGGTTCCAATTTGAACATGCAGGTCAGTTCTGGAACCCAGAATAATTCCACCTCAAACGAGCACTCCTGCACCACCATATCGGTGTCGTTCAATGATGTTTTCATGGTGGTAACGGGTACCTGGAGCTCTCCATATGAAAGTCCGGCGAGAATCAGACTGCAAGCTAAACCTGGACTCGTCGGAAAACATCACACAAGCCCACTGTTGCGGTATCCACAATGCATGCTCTCTACTCCAGGCTAACAGCAGGCGACAGTAAGTTGCAGTAAGTGGAACGCATCTGACAGGTCTATGAGCATATAGACCAATCTGCCCTAAGCGTCTGTACACGGTCTGCCTTGAAATTGTTGTACCAGTGGCTGAAGACAGTTGACAAGACAGGTCTGAGGTTGTGCTCCGCCTGTTTCTTTTGGCAGCAACTGCCAAATACCGGTCCTCATTCGGCGTTGTAACTCTGGGGCGACCTGTGCTGTAACGTCTACTCACATCATCTTGGAATCCTTGCCAGAGCCTAGAGATGACACTCTGGGAATTCCAAGTTCGTCTGATACTTCTAGTTGGGTACGCCCACATTCCAGACGGCCGATAATTCTACCACGTAAAAAATCATCCAAATGCATCCTTTGTGCCATAACTATTCGGTTACTACACTGAAATGCTTATAAAGCGCCTGCGAACAATTTTACTTCTTTGCCTATATTCCTTATATATCACTCTCGTCATTGTGTTATCCTTACACTCTCGTCATTGAGACGTACCATCGGTGTTATCTGGTTACTTCCTGAAATTTGCATATGATTCTTGAAGATGTGTGTAGTGATTTTACAGGTGATATATTTATTTTAGAGTTCGATTTCCGCGTGACTCCGAATTATCCTTAATTTATGGACATGAGTGTAAAAGACTGGTTTACATGATTCACGCAGCACGCGTGCGTGTCTAGGAAACGGAATCAATATTTTAGTATTGTAACTTAAGTCAAGGAAGCTCTTTATCGCGTATTCAAAATCAGATTGCAAATTACAGTGAATATAATCTATTTAGCCATCTCACTGCGCACGTATTTTTATCAAAATAGATTCAAAAATTGCGTATTTTTATTACATATTTCAAATCTACATATATTTTAGAGTTAAAATATAGAGTTAAAATATACAACATTTTTTTTAAAAGAGTTTTTTTTTTTTTTTTTTTTTTTTTTTTTTTTTTTTTTAAATATAGAATTAGATCATAGAAAAAGGTTGTCAGAATACTGAAATTGAAGAATAATGATATAAAAGGAAAATTCTGAAAATTAATATTGGTTAAATTATGATTTATTTTATAGAATACAAAGGTAAAACATATATACTAATGAAAGTATTTGCATAATGTAATATTTTGTATATACATTTTGCACCACTGTCCAACATTTTCAATAGAAACTGAATTTTCAGTTTCATCATTATCTGCAGAGGAATCCGAGAAATTCTCATCAGTTTCGCTATAACTATCTCCAATATACTTCTGGAATGTGGGCGTACCCAACTAGAGGTATCAGACGAACTTGGAATTCCCAGAGTGTCATCTCCAGGCTCTGGCAAGGATTCCAAGATGATGTGAGTAGACGTTACAGCACAGGTCGCCCCAGAGTTACAACGCCGAATGAGGACCGGTATTTGGCAGTTACTGCCAAAAGAAACAGGCGGAGCACAACCTCAGACCTCTCTTGTCAGCTGTCTTCAGCCACTGGTACGACAATTTCAAGGCAGACCGTGTACAGACGCTTAGGGCAGATTGGTCTATATGCTCGTAGACCTGTCAGATGCGTTCCACTTACTGCAACTTACTGTCGCCTGCGGTTAGCCTGGAGTAGAGAGCATGTATTGTGGATACCGCAACAGTGGGCTTGTGTGATGTTTTCCGACGAGTTGAAATCAGAGTCTACTGTCAGTGTCAGAAATATCGTCAGGAATATAGGTTATATCATTCGCGAAACGCTTCCTGCCAGACATCTTTGAGCTCTGAAAAGCGCGCGCAAAATGCTACATTACGTATTCTTATATATTTGGCAGAAATGTGGACAACTAGCGCCATCTGTTAGTCCACATCTAAAATAAACAATCAAACATCACAGAAAAGCCGAAAGGAAACCTTGAACTAAGAAAGAGCGGGTTCCACAGTTAAATAGACGGCAAAAATTCATCCCCGCGGAAATCGCGCAAATTTTGCTACTTCTACGTTGCCCGTGGAAATCGCGGGAGCGCAGCGAGTGGGTTAATATTTAATAATTTTCCAGAATAAATGAGACACTGAATTTTTCATTCATATCCTTTTTTCCTTGAGTAGTTAAGGTGTGTAATTGTGCGTATTTACGTTATAAACAGTTTATAAGGACAAGTTAACAATGAACAGGTTATACAACTCTTTTCGTTATTCAAAATTTTTTTGTCTCCCCTAGCTTCAAAAATAGGATTTCTAATTGGTTACGAATGTTACCAGAGAAGCACTAAAATTCTGAGCTAAAAGCGCACATTTGTTTCCTTCGCAAATGCTCCTACTGCAGTTCTAGAACATTTGAACTGAAAGTTTAAGCGATGAGTAATGCTTATGGGTGTGCTTTATATTCTCTTTTTAACTGTAACTATGAACTGTATATAACTATAACTGTATTTTTTCTATCTGTTAATGTTTACTGCTCTTTAAATACGATAAATTACAAGGAAAAGTTTATTAAATGGAAAAACATTTTCTTTATAGGGAATCCGGCGTCTGCGAAGAATATGAAAGAAACATGACAGCTCCAATGATCTACCAGTGGGTATTGGCCAAGCCATACGAAAAAAGTACCAATACAAAATATAGATAAAATATATTTCTGCCTTCTGATTCTGTATGTTCAACACGAAAGATACACTTATAATAACAGATGAGATATATGTATAAAATATAACACAGGGCCTTAATGTGTTATTAAATATTATCATTTAATTCCAAAATTAGCATGCAGTTTTTATTAATATCTTTTAAATGATTGTCTTGCATTACACAATCGTTAATCTATTATTCAAGTTTTTAGACAATGATTTTTCAGAAAATGGACATAGACCTTAATAAATTATTTGCCGATACAGCAACTTAATGTGAAATATGGTTGACCTCTAACAACTCAAATTTCTAGATGATACAATACAAACAGTCAGCTAGCACGAATCATTGCCTATTTTAAACAAACATACTGTCTTAACCATTAAAGTAGGCAACAGTTCACGTAAAGCATTTTGTTGGTCATCTTATATATGAACTTCTTCAAGAACGCTTTATACGCACGAATGATGAAGTCACTTCTATTAATAGTTGCAGGACATTTTCTGTGGTTCACTATCCTTTTATTCAGCAGATAGTCAAAAGTAATACTGGTCCATTGCACTCGTAGCCAAGTGCCAACTCGTAGCCACTATCACTATATAAATTTATCAGACTTATTGAAGCAGGAAACAAGAAAACTCTGCAGTGTTCTCACCCAGACTCGAAATCAGGATCTACTAGGCAGACATGTTTTCCGATTACACCAAGAAAGCAAGAGGTAAAGAGGAGTAGAAACCTTAAAATTGTATTCCTGATGCAATTTAAATTTCTGAAATTAATCTTAAAATATTTAAACCACATTCTGGCTATTTTTTCTTTATCATTCCATTCGCCTGATTCACGACGATCTGTCATTTGTGATTATATTTCCATCCACATACATATTTATTAATCACAAAAAATTACATCATCATCCAGCATCACAACTGTAACAGACAAATCTATTGCAGGTAATACATAATTTCTCACGAGAATATCATGATTTATATAAACAGTTAGTTCATCGATGAAACGAAATGGCCTTAAGTATAAAACAACAATATTAAACACAGTGTTAACAAATACGATAGACGAAAGCCTAATTTAATTTTACTGCCCGTAGTACAGTGTTTACAATTTTATTTTATTTTTAGTACACTGTACAGTGTTTACAATTTAATTTAATTTAATTATATTTACAATACAATTTAATTTTACTGCCCGTAGGGTGGTCAATATGGGTAGAAAATAATAAGGAATATATTATTGTTCATATGCAAAATTCCGTTCTATAATTAAAACAGCATAGAGGGGATTTTCGTTTGCTTTTCTTTATCTTCAAGTACAACTCAAATCTCCCAAGATTTGCTGCGCCTCTTTGATTCAAAAGTTATCCAATATGATTTGTTGTTGTCTACATTCTAAAAAGTGTCTAAAGAGAGACTACAAATTGCCAATTAAAATGCTTATGTTGTATATTAATGTTATTTTATCAGGGTTCTACTGTTACTAGAAATCATTTTGCACACATTTCGGGGATAAAAAAATTAGCATCATTTTTCTTCCTTCTTAATCTTCTAATTCCATAATCACCCTTCTGTTTCTGTTTGTGAATTTCTTTAGATTTTTCTTGTTAAATTTATTTTTATGGTCATCCAGAAACTTTTTTTCGTCTTCATTGTTTTCTCCCTAGCCCTCTGAAGTGGCATGGCATTTTGGACCTGTTCATAAAGACCTGTATTTAACAGCATTTGTTGGCTAAATTTTTATAATTATTTATTTTAGTCTGTGTTTCACAAATTTTCATTCATTAAGATGATATTGACATTATTAAAGAAAGTAAACTATTTTAAATTATAATGTAATATATATTAAATAAAAAATCATGACAGATTAAAGATCAAAGATAATTTGAACAGTACTCTCGTCTATGTCATGAAAGTGGAGGATGCATATAAGGCCAGCAGAATTTGGATCTTTAACCCTCTCAGTGTTATGGCCGGAAAATTCCGCATAGAAGGCTGCCTTCTATATTCATTATATATGAAAATTTCTGCTAGTTTTTAATGTATCTGATTTCAGTTTGGATGTATATTCGAAGAAAAGGAATCAAGGTACAAAATGAGAGAGTCATTTCTTAATTAAAATCAAGAAAATACCACTTATCCATGATATTTTGTGGAACTTTGAAATTTCAGGGCTAAACCCGCAAAGTGCTGAAACCGGTGACGGTACTGACGTTTAATGTGGGAAAACTAAAATTACATTTTCAAGTTCATCTAGTCACGTTGGTTACACGATTATGATACCATACCCGACTGATACTAGAAGACATCTATCTATCAGATAACATTTTCGGCATCTTGCTTTCGCAGAACAGTATTAAGTTAGAAAACGTATAAATTAGATTCAAGGCAATAACATTATTGGTTCTTTGTCTAATCCTGGGGTATCCCCTATCATTTAAATTAGGAAAAAAAGGCAGCTTTTCACGATTTTATGTCAGCTACAGATGTATAAATCACATTAGAAAAGAAGACAGGTATAGTTAACTTAGAATCGATGACACATTAAATATGCTGGCAGGAAAAATATTTTTTCTTTCTGGATTTGAAGAGCGGTTATTGGTAAGTGGAAATAGATCCTAGCGATCGAGAGAACACTGCATTTATTATCGGTCAAAGTCAGTTTAAAATAATGCCTTTTAGATTACGCATCACCCCTTTGACATTTGAAGATCAAAGGAAGATAGATTTCAAAGGAATGTCACATGAAGTTGCTTCATATATCTCAACGGCATTATTATAATTGGTTGCACTTTCGAAGAACATCTGGAAAATATTAAAAACGATCTACAGGATATCAGAGAAGCTAATTTAAATCTCAGTTTTTCCAAATGTAATAAACTATTTCGAGACGTTAGGTACCTTCTTCGTCATAGGTTTCAGCGCAGATCTTTAAAACATCAGAGCTCTTAATAACTGATGTCGCCCTACATACTTTCATCATTTTAGAAGTTTGGACGGCCTTTGCACTTACTTTCGAAGATCTGTTAAAAGACTGTTTTTTAAATAGGCAATTCTTTACATTGTCTAAGAATAAAGGTATTCATTATTTGATGATTTTCAAAAATAATTTAGAACACTAAAGCTTTGACTTTCTATTCTGGACTAGAGTATCCCTAACCTGAGTATGACTTTATTCTGGATACAAAGACAGCAGTGCAAGGCTTAGAGGCATTATTTCGCAAGAAACTGGTAGTCAAGAGCACGCCATTGCTCTTTTCAGTAAAAACCACTGGAAGCCAGCAAGAAATTACTGTTTCGTGAAAAAAAGTGTTAACCATCGTAAAGACAGCATTTTATTCATCATCTGTGCACTAAATTCCTGTTCATTTCTAATCCTGCTTCATTAGGTTCCTTTCTTAAATTAAAAAATCCAGAGGTCCAAGTAGCCAGGTGGAAACATTTGTTACAGAGCAACAAAATGGAAATTTGACATCGTACAGGACTTTCTCATGGGAATGCTGATGAACGTTTCAAGAAGACCTTCTGCAGGCAGATTGCAAACGCAAAAACCAAGAAAAATATGACTTTGAAATTTTAGTGACACAAACTGATTGGAAAAAATACATTTAATAGGAAAACACTGTATTACAAAACTTGTGATAAAAAGGAAAACAAGGAGAAAATATAGCAGTATATGGAGCTTGATAATAAAGTAGCAACAAAGCTTTGCAGTTGTAAAACAATAGCTTACAGTGCTTTGGGATACAAACGAAAGTAATTGTAAAATGTCGCAGGCAGTTAACATTGCTTTCTGATTATGAAATTACAAATATATGTTCGCTATTACAACACATAATGATCTGTGGAGAAGAGAAGAAATCAAAAGAATTTTTAGTTATAATATTTCAAATCTCTTAAAGAGACTAATTACTTTTACCCAAAATTTAAAAACGGAACAAAAGAATCCAAAAACTGAAAATGGTAGACATATTACTCTATATAGCAACAGATAGTGTAATTTCAAATTTATCCAGTTAGTTATTAAGAAACCTTTTTTTAATTTTATCCTTTTTATAAAGAGGTATTCGTTGCTTTTAAAGAAAAACATATGACGTTCATAGCCACATATAAGTGTTTTCATGACAAGACTTTATTTCCATATATTTTTATAAAATCAGACGTATAAAGAGAAGGGAAAAAACGCACTGTGAACCAGACACTGTGAAATACCTACGTTCACACAATATAATAACATTTACAGTTATTTGTTGCCATACAAACAAGTTTTAACCCATTTTTCGTAAAATTCGTCTTTATTTGATTTTTAAAGTAAAATTTATTTTCGGGTTCTATCCTAATATAAAATTTATATTGCATTCGTTTTAAAACGTAGGCCTTTTACTTACTTTACAAGTTTGTAAATCACGCTCGGCGATCTCTTTTATTCGCCGGATTTGAACTACAACGTTTCACACCTTTATATAATTTTTTATATTATTTCATATCTCAATTTATCTTAAAACTCTATGAACTTGAAGAAGAGGTAGAGGATATCGATATGAACCTTATTCATGTAGGAAAGTCGTCGTAAGTAGTAGTAAAGTAATAGTAACGATATTCGGCGCCAGACGTCAGCGCTCCAGGTCGTCAAATGGGGCTTTCTCATTAAAGCTTGTGAAGATATTGCGGAGAATATGCATCATTTTACGAATACTATGATTGCAGTTACACATTTTACGCATGGTTCAGCTGATGATAACAGACAAACAACTGCTAATATCTGCAAAGCTAAATATATCTCTGTAAATGTTCTAACATCTATGCGACTTCAGTGTGTACAGTCTGACCTTCTAAAAATGGAAAAATGGGGGAAAATGTTAAAATAAACTCAATACACTATCTGTCAAGAGAAAGCTTTACGTCCAATACTTCCAAAAAAATTTGCATTTCTTTATATCTGTGACTTCCAAAGAATGAAATTTCATCAAGACAAAGCAATAAGTCATACTTCGAAAAGTGACACTCCATTCCTTGAAGAAATGAAGACTGAAACAGGAATCGTATGTATACTTTTCACTGAATACCTGCAAAGATCTTGACGCTTCTCATTTGGACTAGTGTGCCTTTGATGTCCTAAAAAAAGC